TTACTCGCTATGGTGGTGGTACAAGTGATTTAGATATGGTTATGTTAGTTTTGTATTGGAATGAACATGTTTTCTATAGCGATTTACTTTAAAAAATTCTTACAGACTAATTATGGTGATTGATATGGTTATGTTAGCTTTGTATTGGAATGATCGTGTTTCTAAAGTGATTTACTGTAAAAAATTCTTTTACTTTACTTACTCGCTATGGTGGTGATACAAGTGATTTAGACATGGTTATGTTAGTTTTGTATAGGAATGAACGTGTTTCTATAGTGATTTACTGTAAAAAATTCTTACAGACTATTGTGGTGATACAAATGATTTAGATATGGTTATTTTAGTTTTGTAATTGAATGAACATGTTTTCGATAGTGATTTACGGTAAAAAATTCATACAGGCTATTGTGGTGATACAAGTGATTTAATATGGTTATGTTAGTTTTGTATTGGAATGAATGTGTTTTCTATAGTGATTTACTGTAAAAAATTCTTACAAACTATTGTGGCGATACAAGTGATTTAGATATGGTTATGTTAGTTTTGTATTTGAATCAACGTGTTTTCTATAGTGATTTACTGTAAAAAATTCTTACGAGCTATGGTGGTGGTGCAAGTGATTTAGATATGGTTATGTTAATATTGGAATGAACGTGTTTTCTGTAGTGATTTACTGTAAAAAACTCTTACCGACTATGGTGGTGATACAAGTAATTTAGATATGGTTTGTATTGGAATGAGCGTGATTTTTATAATGATTTACTGTAAAATTTCTTACCGACTATTGTGGCGATACAAGTGATTTAGATATGGTTATTTTAGTTTTGTATTGGAATGACCGTGTTTTCCGTGATTTACTGTAGAAAATTATTTTACTGTACTTACGAGCTATGGTGGCAATACAAGTGATTTAGATATGTTATGTTAGTTTTTGAATGAACGTATTTTCTAGTGATTTACTGTAAAAAATTCTTACCGACTATGTTGGTGGTACAAGTGATTTAAATATGGTTATGTTAGTTTTGTATTGGAATGAACGTGTCTCTATAGTGATTTACTGTAAAAAATTCTTACAGACTAATTATGGTGTTACAAGTGATTTAGAAATGGTTATGTTAGTTTTGTATTGGAATGAACGTGATTTACTATAAAAATTCTTTTACTTTACTTACTCGCTATGGTGGTGATACAAGTGATTTAGACATGGTTATGTTAGTTTTGTATTGGAATGAATGTGTTTTCTATAGTGATTTACTTTAAAAAATTCTTACAGACTATTGTGGTGATACAAGTGATTTAGATATGGTTCTGTTAGTTTTGTATTGGAATGAACGTGTTTTCTATAGTGATTTGCTGTACTTACTAACTATTTCAGATTGTGGTGATACAAGTGTTTTAGATATGGCTATGTTAGTTTTGTATTGGAATGAACGTGTTTTCTAGTGATTACTGTAAAAAATTCTTTTACTGTACTTACTCGCTATGTGGTAATACAAATAATTTAGATATGGTTATGTTAGGTTTGTATTGGAATGAACGCGTTTTCTATAGTGATTTACTGTAAAAAAATTCTTACCGACTATTGTGGTGATACAAGTGATTTAGATATGGTTATGTTAGTTTTGTATTGGAATGAACAGTGTTTTCTGTGATTTACTTTAAACAATTATTTTACTGTACTTACGTGCTATGGTGATGATACAAGTGATTTAGACATGGTTATGTTAATATTGGAATGAACATGTTTTCTATAGTGATTTACTGCAAAAATTCTTACCGACTATTGTGGTAATACAAGTAATTTAGATTGGAATGAATGTGTTTTCTATAGTGATTTACTGTAAAAAAAAAATTCTTTTACTGTACTTACGAGCTATGGTGGTGATACAAGTGATTTAGATATGGTTATGTTAGTTTTGGAATGAACGTGTTTTCTAGTGATTTACTGTAAAAAATTCTTACCGACTTTGGTGATGATACAATTGATTTAGATATGGTTATGTTAATTTCGTATTGGAATGAACGTAAAAATTTCTTACCGACTATTGTGGTGATACAAGTGATTTAGATATGGTTATTTTAGTTTTGTATTTGAATGAACGTGTTTTCTATAGTGATTTACTGTAAAAAATTCTTACCGACTGGTGGTGATGCAAGTGATTTATATGTGTTAGTTTTGGAATGAACGTGTTTTCTATAGTGATTTACTGTAAGAAATTCTTACCGACTGGTGGTGATGCAAGTGATTTAGATATGGTTATGTTAGTTTTGTATTGGAATGAACGTGTTTTCTTTAGTGATTTACTGTAAAAAATTCTTACAGGCTATTGTGGAAATACAAGTGATTTAGATATGGTTATGTTAGTTTTGTATTGGAATGAACTAAGTTTTTTTAAGCTACTGAAGTTTACAAGTGCGCATTATACTTACAGCCCTTTAACTAATTCACACACCTCCACCGCCCATGTATCTTCTGGTTTAATTGTTAATAATTTCTTCAAGTCAGTAATTGCTTCATTATACCTTTTCATCATATAATTAATTTCACTTCGATATCTTAGCGCTATTGTATTATCTGGCTTAATTTTTAGCAATCTAGTTAAATCTTCAAATGCTTTATCAAATTCGCCCATAATAAAATATAACTTTCCTCGGTAGCTTAATTCAAATGCATCATTCGGTTCTTTTTTTAGTGATTTTGTTAACTCATTGGTTAAATTAACAAGCATATTTTCATATCCACCCATAATAAAATAAACCTTTTCTTTATATCCTAATACTAATGCATTACTTGATTTTTTACTAATGCCTTCATTAGTCATTGCTATCAAATGAATTACATATAGACAAGATTAAATTCTAAATAAGCCAAAAACATTAAGCTTTTTGAATAAATTTAATAAATTTACCAGAATATTTAAATTTTTCGTTGCCGAAGTTCACTTCTACTGACCCACCTTGTGATCTAAATCCAACACAAGGATATAGAATGCCTTTGAAATCACTAGGTAAATGGCATGCAATTCCTTAAAATATTTTATAATTATTAAATTTCTATCAATTTGGCTTAAGAAATATCGTGGCTGAAGCTGGAAATTTTAATTATTTTAATATAAAATTTTCAAAAAGTTTTAGGGTACATTTTATAAGGCTTTTTTTAGTAATTAAGTTAGGGCCTTAATAATAGAAGTATAGGTGGATTTTGGTAGGGTTAAGATTTTTAAATTGAAGTCCCTAATTTCTAGCTTCAGCCATGTCAAGAAATATAAATTTAATTTCAAAATGTTGGTTACCTAAGTTAATTCCATTTTTAGTATAAAATACTATGCTTTTTCTGAAATTTAGATAGCATCCGACTGTATCATCAGTAGTATATGGCGATCCATATGGTTCGCCACTTCCTGAACAAAAAGAATATCCATCGTCACCATGATAACTACACCCCCATGTTTTATTTTCCTTATTTTGTTCATTTTTTTTATATTCCTGACCTAAGGGATATGACATATGTTAATTCGTAATAGTGAGAGAATAGATTAAAATTTGCTATTACCGGGCATGAGCATATTATTTATATAAGCTGATTCGTCTATTTTTTTATCACTTGGTTTGGTACAATATCCGATTACAATCATTCTTTAAGAAAAAATAGAAAAGATTATAAAAAAAGTCACAAGAACAAAGATGATGTTTATTATACGTAATAAATTTGTCACAAATGATGCTGAAATTCGGGGACTCGTTGTAAAATATAAGCCCTGCTAAAACCCATATATACCCTTTAATTATCAATTCTAACCCTAAATCCTAATCTAAATCTAGAAAAAGGCGAAAACATCCAAAAAAAGTTTAAAATTTCATATCAAAGTAGTCCAAATTTCAGCATCAGTCGCGACAATTATTAATATTACCCATTTTCCCCTTTGTTTATAATCTTAATTTCAAAGTAAAATATCCCACACTGTGAAGGAATTGGATAATTTGTTCGAACTATAGCGGCTTTATAATCATCGGGATCTTTAATTAAAAAAGTTTCTTAATAAATTAAAAGCTATGATAATATTTAAACAATCAGCACTCATAAAACATGTTTCTGCGAAATTTCTCATTTTCATCTTACTTATATAATTCACTTTAAGTCCACTTGAATCTATGTCAATAAAGGGTGATTTATCTTCAATATCCCATGCAGTTGGCAAAACAATATCATTGTATGAAGTTATTAGTTCTAAATCTCCCATTAGATTAAAATTCATTCCAGATCTTTCGTTTAGGCAATTAAAATCAATTTATAGGAATATTGATTTTGTACGTGAATACAAGCATTTATTACTAAACAAGATGAGTACCGTTTCACCTAATGTACCAATTTAATCTGTTTTTTTTAACAATTCTAGCTCATTCATAAATTTATTTAAGTTCCTGGTTTCGCAACAACGTTTCGCAGCTACCTTGTAATTAACACGTGTGACGCTGTCATTAACGCTAAATTCTTATTGGAAAATACATTTTTGTGAGGCTTGAACTTCGTATTTATATTTGTCGTACGTACGTACTCAGATTATCGGAAATTCAAAAATCCGACTTGTGTTGACTGGCAATTTTGGAAGTATCCACACTGCATATTGGCTGTTAAAAGGTTACTTTCTTTTGAGCAAAATGATACAGTTAGTCAAACGTTTGTTCACGAAGTGAGTATTAGTGTACTATTTGAGCTTCCAAAAATTATGGCGGTGTTCATTGTTGTTTATCGTGGATATTAGCTACAAATTTAAAAGCGCGTAAAATACCATGATTGAATAATGATGTTAGTCAAAGTATTATTAATATACATTAAGTTCCTTACATTTCACAAATATTTATATTTCACTCATTACAGATCCGTCTAATAAAAATATCTTCTCATTCTCCAATATGCTGAAAGTAATTACTTTGCTCAAAATCATTGGCATTCACTTGGACAGATAAGTTTAAAATTGCTTATGGTATTACTTATGCTTTTAGATGTCTTCATAATGAAGATATTGTTCATTGCGATCTCGTAAATACTGTTTAACGAATTGCTTGTGTATTTTACCTATTTACAACATCCTAAAAAAACATTTTGCCGATTTTGCTATTTTTAGAAGCTTTACCACTGCAATGAATTTGGTTATTGGCGTATTCATAAATTGAGTCTAAAGTTCTTGCAGATCCAAACCATCCACGTGACAAAGCAGCTGATATATAGTAGCTCATTTATCGACCTGATCTACATTATACGTACATATCGATATGGGCGAGTAAATCCAAATGTGATTAATACCGATACATAATTTTTATCAAAGGGTAATCAAACGAAATATCACATGGGGTCTTTGCCTTGAAAATGGGAATTGCTACCGACACCGCAACACGTGATCCAATTTCCTAATTCTAACACTAACCTTAACGATAATGCTGGCCGTGCGGTGTCGTTAAGGTTAGTGCTGGTCATTTGCGGTGCGATAAGCGGTGTCGGTAGTAATCCCCTTGAAAATCAAGTTTGGATCATATGATTTACTATGTCCCGTAAGGTCATTTTCAAGGCAAAGACCCCACATGATAAATTTAATTGTTTTGTTTGATTGTTTTGTGTTACTTTATCGTTACTACAGAACATTTCCTAAGATGCAATAAAATTATCTTTAAAACCCTACTTACATCTGAAATATTTTATAATAAAAATAAAGTAAAAAGGTATAAAACTATTTAAAATTCCTGAACACCAAATCATAAACATATTTTTTATTCTGAGAAAGTTCAGCAAAAATTTTAACTTAGTATAAATATAAACCAAAGTATATTAGTTAACATACCTTCAAATAAATCTAAATCTGAAGAAAAAAAAGTATTAACAAATACCTTTTGTTTTTTGAATCTTTAATATAACCAAATTGGATTAAAAATATATATATATAATAGTAAAAACAATTTATAAAGTAATTATGCCAACCTCATATATAAACCAAGTGAACAAAGTTTATGAAATAATGTTTTATCAACTAAAATAATTAAACAAAGTATAAGCATAGGAAGTAAGAGTTAGTTTACCAATATCTATATATTAAAATCATTAGGTTATTATATTATTTAATATAGTTTAATATATAAGAAATACATTTTGTCCAATACAATCGGATCATATTAGTTGTCGAATTTCACATGACTAACTTATGCTACGATTTTATTGGACAAAAAAAATTTTATACTGTAAAAATAATATATTTGAATATTACGAGTTGAATAATCTATATTTTTTTGTGTATATACTGTTAAATTATTATTGTTATGCAAAAAAACACTAATCTTTTTAAGTACTAATATATTTATTATTGCATTATTTTAATCTAAATACTATTATACAAAGTTAAAATGACTATATATACTTTTTTCTATGTATTTTTACTTAATTGCATGTATGTTTTGCATGTTATTTTATTTGTTAAATTAAGATATATATAAATTATTATTGTAAAATTAAAAACATTTTTTTTGTATACAATATATTATACATTAATAGTATTTTTATTTAATTATATGTGTTTTGTGCATTATTTTAAATTGTAGCAATTAATAATTATTCAAAAATATAAAATCATTAGCTAAACAAGTTTACTTAGTGCATTAAGTTGGAATTGATTAGTAAACTTCTAAGAATAATAAGATTTTATATAATTTTATTAATAAAATTCTATAAAATCTTATAATTCTCAGAATTTTATTAATTAATTCTAACTTTATGCACTAAGTAAACTTGTTCAGCACAAAAAATACACATATATGTATATATTTGGACTCAAGCTAGTTTGAAAAACTTCGGACCGAACCCGGACCAAATTCTTAATTGAGTTTGAGTCTGATCTGAAGTTTGAAATTAGAAAAATTTAGAGTTTGAGCCGGTTCGACCTCGAATCGGACTTACCCGAACCGGTCCTATGAGCCCTACTCAGAGGGGATGCCTAATACAAACTCCTAAAAAGAAAATAGCCAATCAGTGAATTCAATTTTGATTGTTCCGGATCAGCTGCTATGAATTCCGAACACGTGTAAAAGAAGAAAAAGCGAAAGTAGTCAAAAACCAGTGTTTAAATCGGCCTTGGTGCACTAATAAAAAATGTTGGAAACAAAATTTTACACGTTATATGTAACAGTCTATGGCTATAGCTTCTAATATTAACGTCTAACCCTAAATTTGTGTTTTTACGCACTTTTGTTTATTTACAAAATCAAATTTCCTTTTTTGGGGAACGTTAAAGCCAGGTGCGTTATAATTACTTTTTTGATGCAGTTAAAGTTACTTTTTTGATTCGGTTGGGTTAGCGCTTTTATATAGACATCAAGAATATAATTTATGCAGTATGTAGATCAATATATTACACTTTAAGGGAACCTTTTTTGGGTCGTATTACCAGCACACAAAATAAGTAAATCCCAGTTGTGCCCAAGAGGTGTGATTTCTTAGGCGTATAATTCACCTTTTAGCACATAAATATACGATTTTTGTATAATTTTAAGAAATCTAAATTTTTGTTGCACCACTAATCTATTCAATAATTTAGCAACTCGCGTTACACGAATTAGGTTACATGAAATTTTGTTATTAAGTTGGTCTATATATACCATAAATCAGGCTAATTCCGGGTAGGATAATGTAACTAATGCTGGCCAAACTATTATAATACCTGATATCATAGACAGAAGTTTGTTTGATTGGCTAATAAATTCAATTTAATTTTACATTATTTATACAGGTTAGAGTACTTTTAAAAAAAACGAAAACTAATCATGATGAAATAAAAAAACCTGTATAGAAGGTTTCATTAGAGCTGTAGGACTCCATAGACAAAAATAAGATCTAATTCTCGTCCGTTTAAAAAAGTTAGTATAGTAATAACTTCTTAAAGCCTGATAAAATCAACTTAGCATGGCTTCACCGTTAATATTTAAAAAATAAAACAAATTAAAATCAACTTATTACTAAGCTAATTTTTTTAAACGGACGAAAATTAGATCTTATTTTTGGCTATGAAGTCCTAAAGCTCTAATGAAACTTTCTATACGGCTTTTTTTATTTCATTATGATTAGTTTTCGTTTTTTTTTTAAAAGTACTCTAAACTGTATAAATAATGTAATTAAATTGAATTTATTAGCCAATCAGACGAACTTCTGCCTATGATACCTGATATACTTTTAAAAATTAACGGTACTGAATGTAATAACCAGGCGAGCTTTTTATAGTATTAGTATGCTAACACTATTAGATGTACACTACAACGTAACAAGTAACTGGTAATTTATAATGTATGTATGTAGTAATTTTTGACATGGATAGAATTTCTACCCAGTAAAGTAGCTTTTAGAATAGGAAAAATTTTGCCATTAGGCTAAAGTTAGAAGGTATTATTTATATAAGAAATTGTTTTTAACATGTAAAAACAGTAAATTTTGAATTACTGGTTATGTGCATTTATTTGCCCTACAATACAATACGCCTAATCTTAAAATTTAATTGTCAACAAAAATTTTTTTTAACCCCAATCCCAGTGTCCGCATAATTCGCAATGACCTAGACACTCTAATTCGGTAGGTGAAAATCACGTGAATGGTATGTGCCCGAAGATTTGTGCTACACCACTTATCTAACATAATTGGATAGCTGCATGATTAATTACCCTTCAACAACTGGTTACTTTTCATCAATCAAATCAATGTAGCATTTATTTACGCTGTTTTTTCATCGAAGTTGATGCCACTCCCATATGCTGCTACAGAGTGACATTAGCTTTAATTAAAAAAATTTTCTGTTTTCATCCCTACAGTTAATAGCAATAAGTATTAAAAATATTATTAGACTAATTTAATGCAAAATAAAATGATTAGTTCATCTTAAATACTTCGATTATAAGTTATTATAATATTTTGATTGAATAAGAAATAAATAGATCACAAAGTGTGCATGTAGTAACACATGTAAATCTAGTTATATATTTAAGTAATTTCAAACATAATATCAATACTGCAAAACTAGTAAGAAAACCAATTTATTGCATTGATTATTCTAATTATAAAAAACTATTTACATTTAAAATTTATGAGCCACACGAATGACTATATTTAAAAAAAAACAGGTCACGATCAAACAGGTTAATAGGGGTGACAGACAAAAATATGAATACATTCCGAATCAGGTACTGATGGAAAATATTCAGAAATAATGGTGGTTGGATTCATTTTTTCTTCAGAGCCATTCTTATAAAGTGTAATTTTTGTTGAAGGAATGTGATCAAAGAGAGGAGCCAACCTTTTCTTTATGATCGGTTTTAAGCTGTCAACTTTCTTGTTTTTTGAAATGTCGATTACAAATATATCATCCTCACAGTAGCTTTTATTTATGCAAAGATTAAGAGTGTAAATTTCGTCATTGTTAGAATTGGAAGCGGCAGGAGAACTTATAAATGTTGTTTGGGAACTCGCAAAATTTGCTTGTGGACTTTGGTTAGAAGTTGCTTGTGGACTTGGGTCAGAAGTTGCTTGTAGACTTGGGTCGGAATTTGCTTGTGGACTTGGGTCGGAATTTGCTTGTGAACTAGAGTTGAAGCTTGCTTGTGGACTAGAGTTGGAGCTTGCTTGTGGACTAGAGTTGGAACTTGCTTGTGGACTTGGATCGGAACTTACTTGTGAACTTGGGTTGGGACTTGTTCGAAGATTGTTTTGATTATTTGTTTGATCGTTCTAAAAACGTAATAAATAAATAAAGTAATCTTAAGTTATTAACAAATTAATGTAGCTACCTGAACTTTATAAACAGTAAATTCATCACTATTTTTTTGTTTCGAAGGTAGAAAATTTAAAATAAGTTTATTAGGACCGGGGATTGGTTGATGTTGAACTTGTCTATAAAATGTGCCAGCGTCATGCTCAGTTTTAAAATGAATATGGCCAAATGGCTTTTCCGAAATCTTCAATATATGAAAATCGGTGGTATGAGCTACATCTAAAAGAGAATTCCTAAGATCACTGCCTGTTACTCCAATTAGGCTATTTTCGTTTTCGCTGCCGATAAAGACCGATTGTTCAAGAGAGCAACAAAATAGTTTCCTTTTTTTGGGGTCTTAAAAAAAGTAAATATAAGTGTAAGAAACTGAATATAAATGATATAAAAACATAAATAGAAATGTATAGCGAAAAAATGTAAGCAGAAACGAAATGTAAATTTGTAAAAAAGAATAAACATAAATGTAATAATAGATTAAACATAATAAACATAAACATGTAAAAACACAGAAATATCCTTATGATTTCACTTATACGACTGTTACAAAGAGAGGTACATAGCTGACTCCTCTTGTGGAATCTGCAGTCCTCTATATCGTACAAGCTCCTTTTAAGGCTTATTTCTATGACGTTCGTTCGTTCGTTCGTGAAATATGTAAAAATGTTCGTTCGTTCGTTCGTTCGTTCGTGAAATATGTAAAAATGTTCGTTCGTTCGTGAAATATGTAAAAATGTTCGTTCGTTCGTGAAATATGTAAAAATGTTCGTTCGTTCGTTCGTGAAATATGTAAAAATGTTCGTTCGTTCGTTCGTGAAATATGTAAAAATGTTCGTTCGTTTGTGAAATATTTAAAAATGTTCGTTCGTTCGTGAAATATGTAAAAATGTTCGTTCGTTCGTTCGTGAAATATGTAAAAATGTTCGTTC